TGGCATTGTCTCTTTACAGGATCCTATGGAGACAGGATGTAGTTATCTGTACTGCATTTATACACATGGATACTTGCTCACAAAATGCAGCAGAGACACCATTGGACCTGCTTTGACCACAACATAAGGCATCGCAGTTGCAGGACCAATTTATCCTTGCAAAACCCCAGTCCCAGCACAATCATACACAAAGTAAATAGAAATGTTCAGACTTGACATCAGTAGCAAGCTTCATATTTATAAAAACAAAGTCCTACAGCTATATATCAAATAAAACTCCATTTATTTTTATTAAAAACAACCGGTTTGCCAACATCCAACATGGCGCCTGCTGCGAATGCAGTGAAACGCCAGCTTTAGTTCCTGAAACTAGAGTTATTTAGTGGAAATTATTGTCTTTGCTTCCGGGAAATGATTCGCGCTGCCGCCATTTTCTTGAAGACCGTTTCCTACCAGGATAGAAGGAACAGCTCAGGAAAAATGGCTCCGGTAATGGAGACAGGAGGCACCGGGCTCTGTTCACGGGCGAGTGCTGACGAGGCCGGAAGTAACTACAAGCTACAGCTGCAAGGGATGTTCCCTGATCCGACTGCTAGCTTCTCTGTTACCTGAGGAGGGGGGAGCCCGAGAATATCACCAGGTGAGACACTTCCTCTGCTTTGTACCCAGCATGGATTATCCATGATCCCTCAACCCGAGGGTTAAGGCCTGGCCCCTGTGCAGCACAGACCTCCCTCTGCAGAATAAAGGGGACCTATGTGTGGTTCTTCTCTCCAGATGTGTATTGGTATCCTCAGATCAGCTCCACTCCATCCAGAATCCCTCAAAGCCTGAAGCTGAAATAGCTTCTGCGGTGTTCTGGTTGCAAATGTGGTCCACCTACCCATCCCCCCATTGTAACATGAGGATGGCAGACACCCTAATACTGGAGGCTGAAACTGGCTGCAGCTCTGTATTGGTTACACCATTGTGACTTGGTGTCGGCCTCATGTATCCTGTATAGCAGAGCCCAGACTGGGAGAGGCAGAAGCAGCTGGTAGGAGGCGAGAATGGAGGGATGTGCTCAACAGTCTGCTGCTTCTCCTTTCACTGTTCAGTCACAAGCTTGGGGAGGGACAAGACCTGTAGGTGTTACTTAAAGCAGAACCGCACTGCATCTGAGGACCACAAACCAAAAATGCTATTTAAACCCCTTGGCACCGGTGCCTCCCAACCCTTTAAGGGTTTCAGAAGCCAGGAGGTGGGGCGGGGTTTAAGGTCATGTGACCGCTGTGATTCGATGTCACATGATCGGGAAAGGTCCCAATCAAAAGAGGAGATTGGGACCTTTCCGTGAGTACCAGATATGTGTGCTGGGAGCTCAGCACATATGTTTTTGTTAATTGCATGAAAATGTGCGTCCGCTCTGCGTCAACGCCCAGACGCCAGGAGGCTGCACATTTGCGTGCGGTCGGCGTGAAGACGTTAATTTATTTTTAATATTCAAAGCAAACTCTCCCATCCATTCATGTCTCCATGCTTTATTTTCCAGAAAATCACTTTGAAAAACACCCCCTAGCATGTCTGGCGGTGGCCATCTTGAGGAAGGGCAGATGATTCATGTAGCAATTACTTCCTGGAATCCATCTGCCCGTTGCTCAGGCATTCAGACAGGAGGGTGTGCCTAGCTGAGAAAACCCCTTCTGAAGACTCCTGGGATATATGACATAATTTGCCTAGGCATAGAAAGCAGGAAGTAGCTGCATAAATATGAAATAAAGGTTTAAAACAAGTAAATCTGATATACTTTCCTATCCATTTACTAATGCTAGCAGCAAAGGGATTACAAATAGTCAATGTAGATTGAGAGAGTGAAGTTCCACTTTAATTGGATACTAACATTTATAGGTAAAGTTGATCTAGGGAATATCCGATTGCCTCTCGGGGGATCAGAAAGGAATTTTTTTCCCTGCAGGAGAAAATTGGATCATGCTTTGCTGGGTTTTTTGCCTTCCTCTGGATCAACTGTGGGTGTAGGAGGATTATAACTTTTTTTTCTATTAATGGTTGAACTGGATGGACTTTTGTCTTTTTCCAGCCAGACTAACTATGTAACTACAGTAAAGAAAAAATAATTCAGGTCTTCTTCCATGTTACCCTAGGTTCACATCTGTGCGGGTGGTGCTGCTGTGGATCCGTACGAAAATCCATGCACCCGCACAGAGGAATGCGGACCTGCGGGTGGGTGCCATTAGTTCTAATGGCACGCCACTCACACTGGAAAACTGAACCGTACTGGGATCCGAGGTTCCCGTGCATGCTGTGTTTTCCAAAGAATTGCACGGACTTCTTCCCTGCGTGTCACGGGCACTGGAGTCTATTCAAATGAATGGAGTCTCATGCCCGTGCAAAACGCAGCCCGCACAGCCGCATACATGTGAACTGGGGGTTAAGACAGGGCTGTGCTGTGTGGTAAAGCTATAAATCTCAGGACTGGATGGACAGAGATACAAATGACTTGGCAGGTAAATCGGCTCCCTTATGTATTTCGTCTTCGTGCCTATTGATGCCTGGAGGTCTGCTTTAACCTTGAGCTGCCAGAGCTGTTTTTGCATTCGTTTAAAAAAAATCATCCTAGGCCCGAAGATTACTCCCCCCAAAACATTATATTTTCTGAAAGCAGACACCTTAGAGAATAAAATAGTGGACTTTCCAATTTTTTTATGTCATGTGATGGTTTAGGACGGGTGGGCAACTGTGGCCCTCCAGCTGTTGGTGAACTACAAGACCCATCATGCCTCTGCCTTTGGGAGTTATGCTTGTAACTGTCAGTTTTGCAATGCCTCATGGGAGTTGTAGTTCTACAACAGCTGGAGGGCCACAGTTGCTCATCCCTGATTTAGGAAATACAACATTTCAGTAACAAAAATACTCTAAAGTTAATTTTAGGACACACAAATAGTCTAAATGACTACATTGTTTTGTAAAATATAAAGATGAGGTTATGCCGAGTGAATTAATAACCAACATGTCAAGCCTTAACAATGTGTGCTGCTGCAGTTTGGTGGTGGTGCTATATTTCCATTGGCGACACTTTAAAGGCTGTACGGGGCGTGCGGTTAGAGTAAACCATGAATAATGGGCCTAGAATTATTGTTCTCACTCCGAGACGCATGGCAATATATAACGTGTAGCACACACACAACGTTCTCATGACCCCAACACATGCATTTATGTTTGTGCATTTATGTGCTTGGGTGGAACGTCTATTTTAAATTTTTTTTTTCCAGTAAATTTTTTTTTCCATCCAATAGGGTACAGTTGGGGCAGATGCATAGGTGCTGAATTGCTTTCTTCTGACAGCTTTACACAGTCCAGCGGCTACAGCCCTTGGGAATGTGTGTAGACCCTCCCCCCTGCCATACGACATACATTGATATACATGGGGGCAGTGAAAGGGTAAAGGAGTAACACATTGTTTTGTATGTTTCTAGAAAACAGTAGCAGTCTTGTCAGGTGTCTGTATTTCCTGTATGGTGACTACAGCCCTGCCTCCTCTCCTGTCCATGTGCACGCATCACTTGTTACATCCTGTTTGCCTGTGCTGGAGGTTTCTGCTTATAGCATTGAGCTTCCAAAGACATTCGCTTGGCATTTTGTTCACATCCAAGACTCAGAAAATGGATGTTCGAAGTCCTGCCAGACTGTGCTGATTTTTCCACAACCTGGTGCTGCCTATGGGTTCGATTTTAGTTTGAGTGAGGATGTCTTCTCTATTAAAGGATAAGTTTAATTGAGATGATGAACAATGTAACCAGAGAAGCTGAAACACACCAAGGTGGGAGTGGACACCCAGATTTCCCAGGTGGATAGTGTTGTCTTATATTATATGACAACAGACAGGAGAAGAACCAGGAATTTATTTCATTATGACCTTACTGTTAGATCATCTAAGACTGTGGTCTCCAAACTACGGCCCGAGGGCCAGATGCAGCCCTTTACTTATATCTGGCCCTTGGGGCACTATTTCATTGTCTGATATCAACAATGCGGCATAATTTCCCCTACTGACACCAATGATGGGGCACAATTCTTCCCAATGACACCAACGATGGGGCATAATTCCTCCCACTGACACCAACAATGGGGCACAAATTCTTCCACTGACACTAAAGATGGGGCATTTTTTTTCCCCACTGACATGGGGATCTTTTCTACTCCCAATGGCCACAGTCCGCCCCCCCCCTAAAGACTGAAAGACAGGAAACTGGCCCTTTGTCTAGAAAGTTTGGAGACCCCTGATCTAAGACGTAGTAAAACCAAGATGACATCTCCTGCACTCAGAGACCCAGATCAGGAATAGGTGGATTGACCGACCTCCATATAAACTTGCCCACCAAAGGAGCAAAGGTTGTGCAGCCCTTAAGCAAGGCTGGGGAAGCCTGACCAGTACTGCAAATAAGAACAAAAGAGAGCGCACCAACCTTGCGCATTACCTCAGCGATAAAAGCGATTTTATTAAAATAAGATGTATACTCACAAACGTAGCAATATAAAAACCATATAATGTCCATATAATGTCAAGCTCAAGTGGCATGCGAGTCCCACTGGAAGGGAGACTCTCTGAGGAAGAAGGGATCTCCCTTCGAAACGCGTCAGCCTTATACAGAGAGTCTCCCCCTTCCAGTGGGATTCGCACGCCACTTGAGCTCTTGTGATCCACTCTTGGACATTATGTGCTTTTTATATTGCTACATTTGTGAGTATACGTCTTATTTTAATAAAACCGCTTTTATCGCTGAGGTAATGCGCAAGGTTGGTGAGCTTTCTTTTGTTCTTATTCTAAGACGTAGTAATCCAGGGTCTGATCAATCCATAAGGCCCCACCTATCACCAAAATATCTCTTTTGGGTGGAAAAACCCTTTACTAAGCACTGTTATTACATTTTGTTAACAGATCTCTCCGGTGACGGTCATCACTGGTTGGCCGTCGTGGGCACCAAGGGAAGGTGGTCATAAATATGAGGCGCCTGAACCGCAAGAAGACGCTGAGTCTGGTCAAAGAGCTTGATGCTTTTCCCAAGGTTCCTGAGAGCTATGTAGAGACATCAGTGAGTCGGGGAACTGGTAAGTCACATGCTGCTATTTGCTGTGCAGTACTCCCTGACATTCCTAGTATGACATTAAACAGAACATTCAAAGCTAAAGTTTAGTATGTAATTTTTTTTTTTCTTTTTTTATTATTCCTCTATTTTGGGATACAGCACCAAATGACCTGCTTCTGGTAAAAATCTTCTCTGCAGTATCTCTTTACAGCTGCTGAATACTTCCCTGAACAGCTGTCTTTCGGTGCTGTGAAGATTTACATTAGCGGCTGCTGCAATGACAATTTGCGCTGCCTTCTGTCTTCTCCGCCATTTCCAGCACTCATATTACTACTCTCCCACAATGCATCGTGTTCTGTAAATGTGTGGAGATCCTGCCATTTAGTGGCTCCTCCTCCATTTACAGAAAGTGATGCATTTTGGGAGAGTAGTAATATGTGTACCAGAGGGTGGCCTGAGGGCCCGACGTCCTCTAGTTGGCCCTGTGCTCACTGCCCACCACCATAGAGCTCAATTGGCATTTGCCATTGAACACCAGAATTGGCAGGACCGCCACTGGCGCCCTGTGCTTTTCACAGATGGGAGCAGGTTCACCCTGAGCACATGTGACAGATGTTACAGGGAGCATAACATTCTCCACGGCTTCTCCAGACCCTTTCACATCATTCAGCATGACCATTTTGGTGGTGGGTCACTGATGGTCTGGGGAGGCATATCCATGGAGAGACACACAGACCTCTACAGGATAGACAATAGCACCCTGACTGCCATTAGGTATGAAGATGAAATCCTTGGATCCATTGTCAGACCCTACGCTGGTGCAGTGGGTCCTGGGTTCCTTCCTGGTGCGCGACAATGCCTGGCCTCATGTGACAAGAGTATGCAGGTAGTTCCTGAGGATGAAAGAATTGATACCATTGAATGGCCCCCACACTCACCTGACCTAAATCCAATAGAACACCTCTGGGATATCCTGTTTTGGTCTGCCATGTTGCAGCTCAGACTGTCCAGGAGCTCAGTGATGCCTTGGTCCAGATCTGAGAGGAAACACCTCAGGACACCATCCATCCGTCGTCTCACTAGGACCATGCCCCGACGTTGTCAGGCATTGCATACAAGCACGTGGGGGCCATACAAGCTACTGAGTACCATTTTGTGCTGCTGAAATTTCAGCAAAATGGATTAGCCTGCAGCATAATTTTTTCACTTTGATTTTCGTGGTGTCTTTGAATTCAGTCCTTTGTAGGTTTATAATTTTCATTTCCATCAAAAGATGGGGCATCCTTACGTTCCTAGCACATTACCCAGTCCATTTCAGTATAGATATCCAGCATAAGATTTCTTCCCCATTGAGATCTCATGTGTTTTCAAGGTGTTCATTTAATTTTTTTGAGCAGTGTGTATATAATTTAGTGTGTGTAGAATTTAGTCCAGTCTCGTTGCCAACAGAACAGCGATGATGGGGTAAAGAAATGGGGTCACGTCAAGGATCCTGGGCACACCCATCCTGGACTTCCATCAAGGACAATATAAAAAGGGGAAAAAAACCCCAACAATTGACCCTGGACATCATCTATACTAATATACTAAGATATATCTTGCCCACTTGTACTTGGACTTATAGTTCCACAATAACTAGAGTGCCAAGATTGCTGACCCCTGGATTATTGTATTATCTTCATTCAGCAGATAGAATTTTGCTCTCTTAATAGATCATTGTTTTGCATTTCCCTTGTTTGACTTGGTATCTCTTATCACCCATCCCAGTATCCCTCCTGGCCTTCACTATCATGGGTATTCTGACAGTGCTGGAATTCCTGGTGTATCGAGAGACCTGGATGAGATACGAGTATGAAGTGGATAAAGACTTTACAAGGTGACAGAAATCTCTGTACATCAAAATACACCTCAGGTTTAAAGCCAGTTCACACTGCCCACACACTAAACCGCATGTCTTCATTTTATCACAACTCACTGCAATGCATTTCCAGGTTACATTCTAGTATGAATAGTACACATAGAAAACTATTTGTTTTTTGTGTGTTCCGTCGTTACTTTGCATTCTTCCAGTGTGGAAAGACACTGGTCACTGCACTATATCTGAACAGACACTCACTATTACAATTTAATCAAGGTAAAACTTCTAAAAGTCAAAATGTGGTTGGTGGCTGTGGGCTGCATGTGCAGTGCCAGTGTATGAAACATGCATTTGTAATAGCGAACATACAGATAATGGTCAGCTGTAGAACAGCCAATTGATTTAGAATGATTTTCAAAGTTTGATTTTCAGCATAAAACTATTTATTTCCATCAGATATCCATCAAAATAGATCAGTTTTAATCAGTAAAGTGGTTGTAAACCCTCACCTTGTAAAACAACCCAATTAGTTTAAAATAGAAATGAAATGTAAAATATCTCTGTATAGATATAAAAAGGGAAAATATGTATATAGTGTTGTTTTATAAGTGATTACATACCCTCTGTTCTCAGCTGCATAAGAGTTGGGGAAGGAGAAACAGCAGGACATGGATCTTCACAGTGAATGGCTGTGTGGGGGGGGGGGGGGTGTGTCAACAGAAGTCAGATTATTAGAGAGCACACTGAGTTCCCAGCACAGGTAGATACCTGACCACAATGTGCTCTCATGCCTAGTGTAGTCAGTTTTTAATAGAATAGTTGAGGGTCTGTCAGGAACGGAACAGGATTTTTTTTTTATACAAGTACATGGTACAGCAGGCACATAACAGGAATATGAAATGTTGGGTTTAAGACTGATTGACTATCAATAGGGATGATTTTTTCTGCATGCCTAAACTGCTAAGTCTATGTAAATTTAAGAGTAATCAATCTGGATTGGTCACTGTACTTCGTTTTTTACCAATTGGATAAAAGTGTATGTCAGAGCAATAGAAAAAACCCTCTGCAGTAAATCTCTGCACTCCGTACACACTTCTCTACAAATAGTTCCTTCCTCCTCTGATATGAAGTCTGTGAGGTTCTTCACCATTGCTGGCTTCTTCTCCTCTGCTTCCTCTTATGTGCTGGGTCTTCAGCTGTCTTGATAGGCTGACATAGATTGATGTAACTCTTGCACACATACAGGAGTTCATACACCCTGGTACCTTGTCGAGAATGTGCCCTAAGCTGCGCATGTGCAGCTAGTGTTTTTTTAAAGAAGACCGCGAAAGCTCACGTCAACCTTGCCCAGTTCTTTGTGGAATACAGAACCCCCCCCCCCCTCTTCCTTTCCTTTCCCTTAATTTTCCCCTTTTTATATATTTCCTTTATAATATTAGTTTTTGTATTAGCATATTTAAATGTTTTTATATATGTTGATTATAATATCTTTAACCATTTCGCGATCGCCCTATTGCAGAACTACTGCTACAGGACGGCAGGGCTGGGCAAAAACACGTGTGTATGTATGTGTAAAATATATAACACGCCCCTACCCGTGCTGGCTTTGGGCTGTCGATCACCAGCCATTGATTCCCTGCCGGCACCTGGTGATTGCCGAGTATCGCTGACGGGAGAGAGGTCTGTATGTAAACAATAAAGATCTCTCCCCTGTCAGCTCCAGCACACTGCTTTGTATTGCAATACAATGTAGCTTACTCACACAGTAAAACGCATACAGCCTAACCCTTTGATCGCCCCAGATTTTAACCCCTTCCTGCCCAGTGTCATTAGTACAGTGTCAGTTCTTTTTATTAGCACTGATCACTGTATTGGTGTCATTGGGGATGTCGGTGACAGTCAGTCCCCCCCCCCCCCCCCCCCCGTGTCAGAATGCCCACCGCAGTCCCCTTTATGTAAAATATGCTTTTACAACCAAATCACAGTACAATGCAGAGGCAGCAGCCCGGGGTGTACACATGCTGTTGCTGTGCCTTGTAACGAATTATACCCCCTGTCTCTTTTGCCCCTTCAAGTGCCCTGCAACCACGTGCAGTGCATGCAGTTTTTGTGCACTAGTGTGGGGATCAGTGGGTTAAAGCAGGTGGTGAGCAGATAATACAACAAATGTGGATCACTCTTCAGAGATCAGCAACAGTGTGAACAAGCCCCAGCAACATTGTTTATAATATATTACATTTTGTATTATTTACGCAGGGTCCTTTATTAGGTTTTTGAATATATATCTGCTTCTCCCTTCTTACAATAAAGCCCAGTCTTTGGGTGAAACCTGTCAAAGGAGGAGTTCCTAGTCTTCATATTTGTTTGTCCATAACAATAAAGCTATTCATGGCATGCCACCAGCATTTTTAATTCTCTACATTTTTCGCTTGTGTCCATTATCAAGTTTTTCCATTGGTCTCATTTCCAAAATGAGTGTTTAATATGTACTTAGTACTCTGTTTTTTTCTTCCAGTAAACTTCGGCTGAATATTGACATCACTGTAGCAATGAGGTGTCAGTGTAAGTATCGTCTTTGGCAGCAGGTGGCACTGTTCTGTCCTCTTTCTGCCTGCTTATGATATCTCTCATGTTCCCTAGATGTTGGTGCCGATGTCCTAGATCTGGCTGAGACCATGGTGACGTCAGCAGAGGGGCTTGTATATGAGCCGGTAAATGCAATGTGTTTTGTTTTTTCGTGTTTTTTTGTATAAACTATCGGGCTCATAGAATTTTTATTTAGTTATTGGACAAGGAGCATTTTGTTATGAATAGGGCTATCTACTATACACTGAGATGTCAGTTTTTGGTGAATGGACACCTTAAAACAGCCTTTCCCAACCTTTTTACTCTAGAAAAAAATGTTTAGTCCTTGGGTGTAACCCCATTAAACCAGTTCATCAAGGGTCAGAAGAAAGCCCTACAGTGGTGGTCAGAATGTCACCACTAAAGATCCTTGATGTCATGCCTTTGTCTGGGACAAGTGGTGTTGGCCCTGAAACTATGTGGGCATAATCAAAGGGGAGGCCGATCAATCACAGCTCAAGGAACCCCTAGCAACCTCTGGATTAACCCTGGTTGGGAATGGCTACTTTAAAGCAAACCTAGGGCAGAGCAACAGGTTCCCTTTGATGGCCTCCTCCCAGCAGCAGATGCTCACCTTTATTTCACCCTCCAGTGATTCTCATGTACTGTACATTCGAACTAGAAGACTTTGAGGGGGAGGGCCAGCATTGACAGTCAATCAGGCTTTGAGGCATGCACAAGTGCTGGCAGAAAGCATGCTGACAGGAGGAGAGGGATCATCTTATCAGTCTTCTGCTGCTCCTTCACTGTTCATTCTTATGCTGGGGGCAGGGAGGTGACCATTACTTAACCAAACCACAAAAAAAATGTTTGATCACCAATGGGGCTGTCTCTCCTAAAATACATAATGCAGGCAATAATTCTGCTCCTCTGTGACATTTTGCTCAGGCTCACAGTACAAGCAATCTGTTGCACAAATTTTCAGTACAAACATAGTAATCTACCTAAACTGTAAACAATAGAATCTCTGTGCGACTAAGTTTATCATGACTTTTAGCACTGATGGTGATTGCACTGTCTAATCTACAGTTTGCCAAAAGAGGAGAAGTATACAATTATGTAAATTAATTGTAATTCTCAAAATCTGAAGCTAAAATTGCACATTCTTTTTTTTTTTCTTTCACAAAGACAATAAAACTCAACAACTGTAAACCTCTCATTTTCCAGGTGATCTTTGAGCTGACCCCTCAGCAGCGGCTGTGGCAGAGGTGAGACAGGAGGCTAAGGGATCAGTATGGGGCTTACAGGAAGGGCTGTAGTTAACTATGTGTGTAAGGGCTACCGGAGACTGGGTATACAGGGGTTGGAGTATAGGGTGAGCTGCCAGGGGAAAATGTATGGGTAGGGGAGGTATAGAGAGGGGCTGCAGCAGGGAAAAAGTATGGGGAAGTGTATTGGGGGGTATAGAGGGGACTGCAGGAAGGATGTATGAGTGGGAGCGTATGGGGAAGGACCTGCAAAACTTGGGGTTGCTGTGTGAGTCGAGGATCTGGAAAAACTGCAGGATGAGTATGGGGAGGGACTAAGGAGGGATTTATGATGACGGGCTGCTGAGTGATGTCACATTGAGATCCCCTGTCTCTGTATGCAGGATGCTGCAGCAGATCCAGAACCGATTACAAGAGGAAATCTCACTACAGGATCTTCTCTTTAAAAGTGCTATGAAGAGCTCGGTCACTGCCCTTCCACCCAGGTGAGAAAACGACCAATGTGAAAAACTCATCCAAATCAACACCCGAATCATTCTTTTCAAATCATTTTTGTTTAAATCAGGTCTGTCAGGGGAGAACTATGTAGTCTGTCATTGCTGACTTCTTACTGAAAATGCTAGCACCTGACTTTTATGCTGACCTATAGCAGGGTTCCCAATGGGGGTTCTGCTGCTGCAGGTGACCAAGCAGGGTAAGAAAAGGTTGCAATGTATCTGTGAAGAAGGTGGTGGCTGAGCTGGCAGAGTAGAGGCAGTGTAAATCTTGGAGGAATTGCAGAGGCCTGACTGTGCTTGTGCCCTGTGAGAAAAGTGACATCCTCCTCTCCTCCAAGAGGAGCCAGAAAGTGGGGAAACACCCTGCAATGTAAGTGTCTGACCCTCCCCTACAGGACTGTTGTGTGACCTGGCATGTGTGCAACCCCCAACAGGACAGTGGTCTGATCAACCTGCAGCAGAGTTTCTCAACTAGAGTTCCGCAAAACCCTTGAGTTCTGCAAGAGCTCTTCAAGGGGTTCCAAAACAGGAGGTGGCAGAAAGAAAATGAGGAGAGGAAGTGATGTGTCCAGGAGGAAGATGGTGGCTGCACTGGCTCAAACAGATGTAATTTAAAGCTCAGAGGAAGTGCAGGAAAGGTGGCTGACCTTCTATATGGCAGGTGTCCAACCCCCTACATGGCAAAGGTCTGAACCCCTAAAACAGGGCTTCTTAACTGGTGGTTCACCACTGGAGGTGGCAGAGCAAAGTGGGGAGGGGATGCTATATATCTGACCCCCTACAGTATGGCTTCTAAATCAATGGAGGTGGCAGGCTGAGAATAGGATGCAATGTGTGGTAGAAACAGAGGCAGTATGAAGCCTGGAGAAATGTGCAGGGTCCTGACTATGCCTCCCCCCCCCCCCCCCCCCCCCCCACGGTAACTCAGGGCTAAAGCCCAGAGGAAGTGAGGGGCTGGTGTCTGACCCCCTACAACACAGAATCTCAACCAGGGTTCTGCTGCTGGAGCTGGAAGAGCAAAATGAAAAGCGGACACAATGGGGCAGATTTACTAAAATTGGAGAGTGCAAAATCTGGTGCAACTCTGCATAGAAACCAATCAATTTTTTTTTTTTTTTTTTTTGTAAAAGCTTAATTGAACAAGCTGAAATTAGAAGCTGATTGGCTACTATGCACAGCTACACCAGATTTTGCAATCTCCAGTTTTAGTAAATCAACTCCAATGGAAGACGTTAGTGGTTTGGGCGGTGAAAATGAAGGTAGTGTGAAGTTCAGAGGAAGTACAGGGTAGGTGTATGACCTCCTACAGGGCAGGTCTCCAACCTCCTACAGCAGGGTTTTTTAATTGGGGTTCTGTCGCTGGAGGTGGCAAAGCAGCATAAAGAGGGTGTGATGTGTAGTAGAAAGAGGCGGTATAAAACTTGATGAAATGTGCAGGGTCCTGACTGTGCTCACCATGAGAACAGTGATTGCCTCCCTACAGCAGGGCAGGTGTCCAAGCCCCTGCAGCAGATTCTCTAAAACTCAAGGAGGAGGTTCCCCTGCTAGAGGCGGAGCTGGGTAAGGAGAGGATGCAGTGTGTCTGGGAGCAAGGTGGTGGCTCTGATGGAGGCAGAGGCCATGAAAAGCATGGAGGAACATGCAGAGTCCTGACCGGAAGGACATTTTTCCCTTGAAAGGGAAACTAAAGGTTTTGGGTCAGTACTTTAAAAATGTATGAACTTTAAAACTAAACACCTAATGTACTGCTGACTAAAGAAGCCAATTGGTTGGTGGGGGAGAACTGCGCCATGTTAATATATAAGGCCTAAGATCCAGACTAATAGTTTTCACGTGTGATTGCAGGGAATACCCTCCTACAGAGCCACTGAGCGCCTGCCGGATCCATGGGCACCTGGAAATTAATAAAGTGGCTGGAAATTTCCACATCACTGTGGGCAAGTATGTCTATCTGTGTTGCATGTCACCAGAGGCCGAGAGGAAGTGATGGAGGGATTATTAAAGAAATGTACTTATTTTTTTTTGTTACTCTCAGAATGTGTATTAGTGCCTGTCCTATATATAAAGATCCTGCTCACCTTCTAGTGCCGAGCAGACCAGGGCTGGTTCCCATTGGATGGAGAGAGATGAGTATTTTCCTAGTTCAGGCTTTCATTTGCTGATATGGCAAGAAAGTGGAGTGCCCAAACACAGTTATAAATATCTTGTATATTTCTTTTGTTTAATTTACTTATAAAATCTTTATTTCATAAATAAACATTGCTTATAGGTAGTTTCTGTGGCTTTCTAAGAAATATTACCACCATCTGCATGCTTTTTGGTAGGCGGCTCTAATTCTCATATCTGCTAGACGCAGGGGAAGGGTGAACTGATGTCACAGAAAGGAAACAAGGTATGGTTAGCTAGTGTCAGGCAGAGTCATAGCTCAAGCATATATTAGAGCCAGCAGCAAGCAGTCAAACAGCAGAATCCAGAAGAATGGATGAGGTTATAACTAGAAATGACAGAAATTAGCAATAATATTAAAACGCCACAAAAGGGCAATGAGTGACCTTGAGGCTGAGGCAATATTCAAGTGCGTAGGGATTCTTATAATGGTGTCTTTGATGTCAGAACCAGGTACTGCAGTATCTAATAAAGGCCACTAGACAGTTCAGGCACACACCCAGATAGAACAAGCCTGAGTAGACCTAAAAATGTGAAGACCTGTGTTGCACTAGTAAGCCTGATGGACGTTTCATCATTTTCAGTTTTCAGCTTTACTAGCAGGTATTTTAAAAGGGTTTATAGGCTTTTATGTATTTTCTTTCTTTAAGCAAACATGAATATTTTAAGTTTATCACATGCTTCCAGCAGGTGAAGCTTCGTTCCACAATAGCAATTCTGTCACTATGGGGCTTATTTACTAAAGCTGGAGAGTGCAAAATCAGGATCACTTCTGCATGGAAACCAATCAGCTTCTAACCTCAGCTTTGTTCAATTAAGCTTTGGCAATAAAACCTGGAAGCTTGATTGGTTTCTGTGTAGAAGTGAGCTTGATTTTGCACTGTCCAGCTTTAGTAAATAAACCCCTATATGTCTATTAAAGTAGAACTAAAGGCAAAACTTTTTTTCATTTTGGATAGAGTAAGGGAGGGTCATAACCCCTGTCATATTTTTTTTTTTTTTGCCATCTGTGTACCATTGGGGAGATTTACCATCACTTCCTGTCCCATAGCCAAAACAGGAAGTGAAAGATAATACCCGCAAATTAATTGCTTCAGCTCTGCCCCATAGCAGAAATACTGCTACAGAGCGGCAACTGTGCGCACAATCACGTGTATATATACGTGACTTTGCATTTCCAGGTAGGGGGCGCACGCATGCCTTATCTGCACCGCAGTTCGTGGCCGCGGCTGTCAGTCAGTGGGTCCCGGCTAATGATTACTCACCGCTGCTGGGTGATAGCCGAAGATCTCCGATGGGGGGAGTCAGAACTGTTAGTAAACAAAACAGTTCTCCTTCCTATCAGCTCCAGCACACTGCACAAACACAGAACATCTTACAAACTGCACACAGTTGACCCTTTGATCGCCCTAGATGTTAACCCTTCATGCCCAGTGTAATTAGTACAGTGTCCATGCTTTTTATTAGCATTGATCACTGTATTGGTGTCACTGGGGATGTCAGTGACACTAAGTCAATCCCCCCCCCCCCCCCCCCCCCCCCCCTAGTGTCAGAATGCCCGCCGTAGTCCCGCTAATGTCCCAACATTATTAGTAAAAAAAAAAAAGCCCAGTGTATATATATCACCATTTGTAAACTCTGTAACTTTCACGTAAACCAATTAATTTACACGTATTGGTATTTTTCTTTAGCAGACATGTAGCAGAATACCTTTTGGCCTAAATTTATGAGGAAATTTGTTTTTACTGGACATGTTTAATAGCAAAATGTCAAATGTTTTTTTTTCTCAAAATTGTCAGTCTTTTTTATAGCGCAAAAATTAGACGCGCACAGGCAATCAAATACCACCGAAAGAAAGCTGTATTCGTGGAAAAAAAAGGATGTAAATTTAATTTGGGTGCAGCGCTGCATGACTGCGCAATTGTCAGTTAAAATAACGCAGCGCCGTAAGGTAAAAAATGGCCCGGTCAGGAAGGGGGGTGGGCAAGGCCTCTGGAGGGCAAGTGCTTAAGGGAATTCCTTGGGGACTCCAAGGTCACCAGAACTAGTGTCCCCAATGGAAAATTTCCCCTCCATTACTTTTCTGGGGACAACCCAAAATTTGGGGTTTTCTTTACTTTCACTTTCAATGATAATGGTAAAGAGGACAAATGGAGAGGATGAATCTCCCTAATAGGGACACAGACAGTAATAAAAAGCTAATGGGGTTCTAATCTTTCTGCACTGTATCCAAAATGGAAAAAAACCTTTTGCCTTTAGTTATACCTTAAAGTATAATATAAGCAAATAGGTACTCTGCATTTTGCACAGCAGAGTAGCTACTGAGATTGATTATTTTGACATAGTCATCAAGCATGAACATGTATTACAATATATGGAAAGGTTTGTTAGAGGTATGGAAGAGTCTATGGCAGTGTGCAGAGGGTTAATAGAGAATGTTCAGTGTTGGCCTGCGGTCACAGTTAAACCTTGAAATGCATTAAGGCAGCAATCTCATGGAATTAGAGCTTCTGTTTTCCTATAGGTATTGCTCTATTGCATCAGTGCACTTCACTGCACCAATCTGGTGGCCTGGAAAACCAGTTGCTGAGTTATGTGAATGTGTAGGTCAAGTACTTCAGGAATATTTCACAGCATAGCACCCCCTGAACAGCTGAAGTAGATAATTTAGAGCTGCAATTACCAGTAAATTGAGTGATCCTTCTGATGAGTTTAGCACAGCTGCAGAGTTTTATGGCTAGTATTACTAATTCATAGAATTATCTAACTTTTTACTATTGGGCTGTGTATAAAATGTAATTGTGAAGTCCATATACTGAATTCCTGGTGACGTCCTGTGTGTTCTAATCTGTTGTCAGTGCTTGGCCAGTTCTTACTGAACACCTCATCACTTACCTTTTAATCTATCTGCAGAGCAATCCCGCATCCTAGGGGTCACGCCCACCTGGCAGCTCTTGTGAGCCATGACAGTAAGTATGATCCTTTTTTTCACCTTGTTGGTTTGCTTGTGTTTATTTCAATTTTGAGAACAACAACCAAACTGGTGAACAAGCCCTGCACCATGCAAGATGAGCCAAAAAAATGATAAATCCGGAGCCCATAATAGAAAAACTCAACAAATGGAAGAAATACAAAATAACCATCAATCGCCCTCGGTCTGCAGCTCTATGCAAGATTTTGCCTCATGGGGTAAGGATGATCATGAGGGATCAGCCCAGAACTACACAGGAGATGTTTGTGAATGATCTCAAGGTAGTTTGGGACCAGAGTCCCCAAACAAGCCATTGGTAACATAATATACCGCCATGGATTGAAATCCTGCTGTCCCCCTCAAGAAGGCACATGTACAGGCATGTCTAAAGTGTGCCAGTGAACATCTAAATTATTCAGAGAAGGATTGGGAGAAAGTGCTTTGGTCAGATGAGAACAAAATTGAGCTCTTTGGTGTTAACTCGACTCGCCGTGTTTGGAGGAAGAAAAATGCTGACTATGACCATAAGAACATTATCCCTACAGTCAAGCGCGGAGGTGGAAACATTATGCTCTGCTAAAGGTACAGGCCAACTTTACCGCATTGAGGGGCCAATGGACGGGGCCATGTATTGTAAAATCTTGGATGAGAACCTTCATCCCTCAGCCAGAACACTGAAGATGGGTCTTCCAGCATGACAATGATCCAAAACATACCACCAAGGCAACAAATGAGTGGTTCAAGAAGAAGCACATTCAGGTGATGGAGTGGCCTAGCCATTCTCCAGACCTTAATCCTATAGAAAATTTATGGAGGGAGCAGAAACTTCAAGATGCCAAGCGACAGCCAAGAAACCTTAAGGATGTAAAGAAGATCTGTAAAGAAGAGTGGACCAAAATCCGTCCTGAGATGTGTGCAAACCTGGTATCCAACTACAAGAAACGTCTTACCTCTGTGCTTGCCAACAAGGGTTTGTCCACCAAGTACTAAGTCCTACTTTGCTTGGGGATCAAATACTTATTTTACTCACTGAACTGCAACTCAATTTATAACATTTGTATCGTGTTTTTTCTGGATTGTTAGTTGATATTCTGTCTCTATCATTTAAAATACACCTATGATAAACATTTTAGACCCTTCATTTCTTTGTAAGCGGGCAAACTTACAAAATCTGCAGGGGATCAAATAATTATATTCCCCACTGTATATATGGGCTGCAATTTTTGGTCTCCTTTTTTGCAAATTTTGGTCTCCTAAAAATCATGAGACACAAGCCTGAAATAAATATGCAGCAGCAGAAATTCAGAGAAAATTTTAAATTCCTTATTACTATTCTTGCTGGCTCAAAGTATTGAATATTGAAGCCAAAAACATGACAACCAGGCAACTAGGGTCAACCAGGGGAGTCAACAATAGCAGTCCCTGGACTTCTGTGTCAGGTACACTTTTTTAATGTGAAAACTGAATCTGCTGATTGCTTATGTCCCTTCCCTAATTTAGGCTACAACTTCTCTCATCGTATCGACCACTTGTCCTTTGGAGAACTCATGCCGGGAATTATAAACCCCCTGGATGGTACAGAAAAAATTGCACAAGAAAGTAAGTGGATCTTTTTTTTTAATAAAGTAAATTTTCTTGTTGGCCATCTGCTGTACCACAAATACATTTTTCACACGTTAAGCAATAATAAGTATACAATTCCTGAATATAAACTGTATGTATAAAAACACCCACCCACCAGCAATGTCTCCGGCTGCTTTCTCTTTTCAGTACCAGTAATGACAGTCATTCTGTCCATGTCCTGAGAGCTCAGCCAACACCTACCCCCAGGGGGCACTTCATCACATAGGATGTGCTCCAGGACTGAGCAGTATTTCGCACATCATTACGTGAGTGACGCTCAGTCCTGGGAGAGTTGGTGTCTGATGTCAGGACCAGGCACTGCAGTACCTAATGAAGGCCACTAGATGGTGCAGGCACAATTCTAAACAGAGCATTCCTGTGTAGGAGATAAAAATGAAAAGTTGTATTCTAAGGCCTTTATCACACTTGTGGGTCTTGCAAAACTCACCAGTGATAGTCACACTAAGCAGGGCAGAGAAACTAGTCACCTGTTGCTATATCACCCCCTCAATTCAGCATATTCTCCCTTGTCACTAAGAGTGCTTTCTCTGCCCTCTCTAGTGATCCTGATGCTGTTCAGCTGTCACTAGCAGTGGGATCACTAGTGTAACTTAGGCGTTCAGACCAGTAGCATGCAACGGTAAGCAGCTGGAAAAGTGTTGCTTTCTGATCAAAAGTTTTTTTCACTAGCTCTTATGGGTAGTGGATAGGACTAGTAGCAGAGCTGACCCTACCAGACAAACCAGAATAACCTCCAATAATCTAGGATTCAGTAATAAGGGGAATTGCTCAAGGCAGGCTTACAGCCCCACCACCAGCTATGGGTGCCAAGGCTTCAGGGGACACATCCTAGCTCCAAGTACACAAACCAAATGTGACTTTCGGTTCTTTCGGTATCTGTATTTGGGATGAGAACAGGTCCCCTGTAGCCTTGGCACTCTCAGCTGGCGATGTGACTTCAAATATAGCAGTACGATTAGGTGCTTCCTGGAATGAAATGTGTTAATTGAAAGTAGGTGATTTGACAGTGGTATATCTTCTTTCACTTTGCTTCAGTAGTCTAACCTGCACTGGAGAAATGATGTCTGGGATCGGAATTCCTAAATATTTTTGGTTTTTGCAGGTAACCAAATGTACCAGTATTTCATCACCATCGTCCCAACCAAACTGCACACTCGCAAAGTTTATGGAGACACCCACCAGTTTTCAGTGTCAGAAAGGGTGAGTTTGAAAAAAGGTGTTTCTTCAGTTAGGATGTCAAGTGCTGAACAAAAAAAATTGAAGTAAAAAGTTTGTGTGGCAGCCATTCAGATTGCACTTTTGTTATGCCTGCAGTAAAGTGGTGCAAAAAAAATTTGAATCTCTGCAATTGTTCATAAGTGGACACAGAATATCTATGTGGCTTTTTGATGGGGGTTGCAGCTTCTTGTATAAACTCGCTTTCATGCTCCAATGTTTGTAAGGGCAGCTGTAGTGGGCTTGGCGGGGCTGAGTGGAAAGTGGAGGTGGAACCAGAGAACTCCCCGATTGCATATTCACAGGCTCAGATACAAGGCCGCTTAGAAGACATCATAGTGATTTGGGGAGGAGAGCATCCGATCACCCAAGTTTTATCGCACCATGAAAGTTTGACTCCTCTGGGACAGTTGAAAGCAACCCTTTCCTGAATCGTGGGGTGCTCCAATATGCAAATGTTAACTTCAGGAAAGTCAGAAGGGCTGGCCCCTTTTTTTTCCTCACATATGATCATTTAGGGCATCTATTTAAAGTTTGAAATGGAACTGTTATCAAATACAAATGTAATGTAAGTATACTTTTTTTTTTTTTTCACTAATATGTAGGTTCGATTTATCTTTTTTTTTTTTTTTTTTTGTATGTTACTCTGTGTGTTTTTTTTTTTGTTTTGTTTTTTTTTTTTTATATGGGCTGGAGAGGGTGTCTAAATGTTAAGGCCAAATCTGCTTATTTCCAATATGCAATATTTTTCCTAATCCATCCATACTCTTCATCAACAAACTAGTGACGTTGTTTTTGTATTTTTATTGAAAGTTTTCAGTCAAAATAATACAAAAAGAAGTAAAAATCCAGACATAAGGTACATCAGAAAATACCGTCAGTGTACAGTAAATAAACATCTCTGTACAAGAAGAGTTGCTGAAGTTGCATGTTTGTACCATACAATCGGGGAACCGACAAATGTAATAACAAAATAGATATCCAGAAATAGATAAAAATGCAAAAAAACATTTAGAGAAGAGCATTTCAGTATATAATAAATCAGACAGATGGATGAGGGGGGGAACTAGTCCTAACTCCTCCAACCAGCTGTCCGAAATAATCTGCTGACAAACACATAAGTGACCATGAGGGTAAGGGAAGAGATAATAGGACATTATATATTCAAAAGGTGTAAACATATAGTATGTTAATAATATTTTAACCTTGAAAAGGAGAGTGGCCAAAGGAATTAAGATGCTCCATAGTTCTGACGTCTGAAACAATTGACACAAATTCTGTAAGATATAACTCTAGGAGAAAGCCAGCGTGGGGGAAGGACTCTCCTGGCAGCCATTAATATGTGGGAAATCAACCATTTGGAGTGTTTAGAAATGTCTGGATAATAAGGCCAAGCAGAAGATGGATAGAAGCAAGTGGAAAAAATCATCAAAAACATTGTGAACTACTTGGAGACTAAAAGGGTTGAATAAACCTACACTGCCAGAAAATATGGAATAGCGAGCCTTGTTCTCGAACACAGTGACAGCAAAAGCCATATAGTGAGGGACATTGCTTATGGGGATTTCAGGCATTTGGTACCAGTGCATAAAGATTTTGTATGTGTTCTCACTGCGCACCACTCGTCAATATGATTACGAGACCGACTCCCAGATTTTGTCCCAACATTTGAGAGAAATTGGACGTTGTATAGTCTGGGCCTATTTACGCATATATAAGTGTGAATATACCATTTTTGGGGAAGACTCCTGCAAAATTATGTTAAATAGCAGTGATAAGGGGTGGTTGGTGGGTCCTTGGTTGCATAGGCATTCAAAGGCAGTAGGTTTATCTAAGGTAAGAGATTGCACTTTTGACATTAATAAAAGTTTAACCTGTAGATAGAAATAATGGTAATTAGCAGGTAGGTGCTTGGAAGAGTGTAGGTCTTTGAAATCATGCAGTTTACAGGTAACTGGTTGAACTAGGTGGTGTAATTGGAATAAAGAGGCCCGAGCACAAGACAGTCTGAGGCTATAAAGCAAACTATGTGGGAGAGTTGGAATAAAAAGGATGTTGGTTAAGGGGGGGGGGGGGGGCATGGCAAACAGAGAGAGAAAACCTGCTAGTGACATTTTTAAAGTGGAACTTTAGGCTTTGTGGGCAGGCTTGGTGGATCCAAGACTTGATGAAAGGAAGCACTAAGCCATGGTTTTGAAATGATGCCATGGGGGAGAGGGGGGGACAAAAATACCTATTTCACTGAGTAGAGGTAGAAGCCTTAGAACTTGGTGACTTAGATTGTTTATTGTGAGCTAAGAGTACTTTACATTTATCAAGGAATTACCCATATAGACTTTCACTGTCAAAAAGCATGTCTATAAGACTCTTTTACAAGCAGGTTCAGCAGACTAAGCTTTTAACTACTAAAGAGACATCCTAGAGACTAGTACATACTTTAGATCAGAGGTCTCCAAATTTGCCAGCCTTTAACCAGCCGTTGGGGCACTATTCTTCTGAATGATACAAGGCACTATTCCTCCCACTGACACCAACAATGGTGCACTATTTCTTCCACTGATACCAACAACTGGTTACTATTCCTTCCACCTATACCAATGATGGGGCAATACTCAGCCTTTTACTGACCACCAACCATAAGGCCATGTTTATTCTCACGGACATTTTCTACCCCCACTGACCACAGACTGGCCCCCTTAAAGTCTGAAGTACAGTAAACTTGCCCTCTGAATGAAAAGTTTGGAGACCCCTGCTCTAGATCATCCACACAAAACAATAGTGTCGAGGGTCTCATCTGCAGTTGTTCTAAAAGAGCAGGATCATCAGAGACCAGTTCTCTATTTATTTGCCTTGTCCAGTTAGCAAAACTCTGGCAAATAGATATGGCAGCAATTTTCGGCTGCAGGACTAGACCTGATTAGTGGTCTTCAAGAGGACTTCAAAATAGGAACTGTATGCTGTTTTATTGAGGACTGAAATTGCAGGATCCACTACCAGAACAAACTCCTTTTTCTTAAAATTCTTTTCCTTTGGATTAATTTCAGTTTAGGAGTGAATATCCTTTCAGGATAAGGCTGGTCCTTGTGTAGTGCACATTCAATTTGTGCACAGATGAGAAGTCCTTTTTTTTATCCTTTTTTGCCACCCTCTTTGTGCCCATAGGGAACTGTTCTCACTGTGGAGAATAGGGTGCTTCAAGGCAGGTTTGCAGCACGTTGATTAGTGTGTCAACAGTGGAGAATATTTGTTTAGCCATAGCCTGTGGCTCATAAAATGCAGGGGTTTAAAAAAGACATTGTTGCTTCTGCTACAAAATCTGCATTCCATCGCTGTTTTCTGTTTTATCCTCAAACAGTTTTGATGGTTCCAACTATAATTTATGAAGAGCGGATGTGTTGCTTTTCTGGAACCTGGTTACTAAAGGTGCTATGGGTTGGGAAAATTTTCCAAATAATTCAGACAAAAGAAATCAGCTTTTGAAAGGCTGTGCATTGTGTGTGACTGAGAGGGAGTCAGAGAAAGGGAGTGTTCTCATAATAGAACATTGCTTTGGGACAAGGGAAAAGGAATCCCCCTGTGTGGAGGGTGACAGTGGTGTACCGAGTGTTCTTGTAGGCCATCACCAGAATGCATCATTCTCAGCCCTTTTTCTCCCAGCTCCCTTGTGCAGCAATCTGTGGCTGCTAAAAAGAGGGGATCCCCGGTGGGGTACTCAAAGAATGGGAAATGGAATGAATGGGGTTTTCCCAGAAGGCAGCAGGGAAGTACAGCAAATGTGCTGTGTGTTTTCGGCAGATATGGCAGGTGGAAGTGCATCAGCCGGGAGGCATGTCATAACTACATCATCATCCTGAGACCAAATGGGGGAAAATGCCATATGTAAAATTTGGTAGATATTACTTATTGTGACAAAAACATTACAGGCAATTTAAAACATGGAGTAACACAAAAAGTGCATAACTCCCTATTCTTTAGCCTTGTGGGCTGTCAATTATTAACCAGGAACCGGTCTCAAAATTACATGGTAATTCTGTCTTGCCTTTATCCATGTTGCTGGGACTGTTAGGTGTCCAGGCTTTGCTGTCACTGAGGGCATACCCCCAAAGGGGTAGTTGGGGTCTGGTAACCATAAAAATGGACCAACTGTATAGCTGACTGCACACTTTACACTTCATGCCAAGGTTGAGTGCCTAACGCAGGATTACAGGCTGGCCCCAAACAGTGAGGTTCTGGTACAGTCCCCAAGGTATAGCACTGAGCAGTACTGGAAACTGCTGGATAGCCTAGGACAATAAGCAGGCAGATCTTAATAGAAATGTCAGAAGACAAAAGGAATGGTTAAAAACATAAACTTCTCTAAAGGAGAAGAGGTCCATCACCTAAGGACACTATGTGAAAGTTATAGCTTTTACAAATGGCGGTATATATATACTGGGATTTTTTTTTTTTTTTTTTACTATTAATGGTGGCGATAAGCGACTTATAGCGGGACTGCGGCAGGCATTCTGACACAGGGGGGGAACTGAACATCCCCAGTGACACCAATGCAGTGATCAGTGCTAATGAAAAGCACTGACACTGTACTAGTGGCACTGGGCAGGAAGGGGTTAACATGTAGGGTGATCAAAGGGTTAACTGTGTGCTGTTTTCCTAGGGGGCTGTGTGTTTGTCCTTCACTGTAAGCATACTGCTTTGCATGGCTGTGCTATGCACAGCCATGCAAAGCAGTGTGCAGGAGCTGACTGGAGAGAAGAACTGTTTTGTTCTCTCATCAACCCCCCCCCCCCTCCACGTCGGAGATGCTCATCAATCACCGGGCGCCGGCGAGTAATCACCGGCTGGGAACCGGTGATTGACAGCCGCTGCCACAAACAGCGTCATCGTTAGGGCACGCCTCGTGCCCATCCCCCAACCTGGAAATGCAAAATCACATATATATATATATATATATATATATATATATATATATATATATATATATATATATATACACCTGATTCTGCACACCCGCCCCGCCCTGTAGCAGTATTTCTGATATAGGGCGGACAGAAAGCGGCTAATAACGGGTGGAGCATGTAACATTTTCCAAAGGTGAATTTATCCTTTAAATCAAATAATTGCACAGAACAAATCTAAAAAAGTGACTCTAGAAATTGTTTAGTGAATAATTTGGAATTCTTTATTTACCTGGAGTTGTTGAAGGATAATACATAAAAGGAGGAATGTAATTGGTCATCATGAGTAACAGAATTACCTTTCATCCAATTTTTTGGTAACATCTATTGTGCACACCAATCATAGACTCACTGACACTCTGTGTTATCTGTGTCTTCCCCTACAGGAGCGTGTGATCAATCATGCCACGGGCAGCCACGGCGTTTCCGGTATATTCATGAAGTATGACATCAGTTCCCTGATGGTGACAGTCACAGAAGATCACATGCCACTGTGGAAGTTCCTTGTGCAGCTCTGTGGCATCATTGGCGGCATATTCACTACCACAGGTGAGTTTTGAAAATGGAATTGATCAACTAGCCTCCAGACAGAAATGAATGCAGTTGTGTATGAAGGAATCCATTAAATGTATTTTGTTACTGCATGCAGTGTAACTATCTGAATCTAAGTATCAGCCTCTCAGTCCATTTACAGGAGGTTAAAACAGCACAAGGAGCCAGATTTTTGCAGTTCAAGGGGCAAAAGGGGGTAGAGAGCAGGGTGACAGACATGAGCTCATTTGTGTCCTGCTTCTATTGTTGTCCAGTCACGGGGTTGGGGAGCAACCCATGGATGTTACTTACTTGCAGTGAATAAAAATCAGGTCCCTGATTGAAGGCTCATCTTTTTTTGTCACTCTGCTCTTTAATCCTATCGACATGCTTTCTGCACTATGGCACACCTGATTGGCTCCTTGTCCTGCTTCTCTCTCTCCTAGTCTGAGCTTGCCTGTATCTGGATTGCGGAAGGCTTACATGTGGCATAAAAGAAAAAATTTGTCTGTAGTTGCATTAAACATATTGTCGCTCCCACACTCACTGGTGCTTCTCCTTGGTTGCAGGTATGATCCACGGGTTAGCTGAGTTCTTTGTGGACCTTGTATGTTGTCGTTTCAGGCTGGGAGCATATCGGCCCATTGAAGTGAGTTCAGACCTTATGACCACACAAAAAAATAGATTATCCAGCCGTTGATATTAGGGCAAAACCACTTACCACTAAAATATTTTTGCTTGGACAGAGATTACATCTTCTGATTTACTGTTGGCGTATTTTAAAACAAAACAAAGTAATATTTGTATAAATGGATTGACAATTCCATCTGGCTGTAAGGCAAAATGTAATCATAAAGTAGACCTTCCACAGCAACCGGAAAGTCCCCCTTTTTTTTTTTTTTTTTCACAGTCCCTGCCACTCAAAGGTATTTTTTTTTGTCCAAATGGTTTATTCACAAATGGATTCTTAAAGCCTTTTTTGTTGATCAGGGAAGGTGACTGTCAAAAAATGTGGACCTTCCATTGGCCATGGTAGGCCATCTTTAAAGTGTATAAAGATGTAAACACGTGTCATTGAGTAGAGCTTTCCTAAGTAAATAATTGTTTGTACATTTACTGAAAAAGTTTTTTTACATGGAGATCCTTCTAGTAATGGCACTTCCTGTTGCAGGTTTACAATGCAAAGCCACTGCCTCTTGAATGGTAGCAGTATTGTCAGCCTGTCCTGTGCACTCGTTCCCATGTGGCCTGGGGGGAGGAGAGTTCATAGTGGCTCCTGGTCTTACAAACAGATAATTAGATGGTGAGCCATGAAAAGCTGAGAATAAGAACCTGATTATTCAGTAGCTGCATCACAATTTGAAAAAATCACTCCTTATTGATGCAATGTAAGATATTGACTGTTTGGTTGTGTATTATATGTATCAGGTAAGGAGCCCAACAGCCAACTGGGAGCGCTGCCACAGCAGGCTGACAATGCTGCTGTTTATTGCAAGGTAGTGGCTTAGCATTGTCAGCCTGCAACAGGAAATGTAGTTATTGGCAGGATCTCCAGCTGACATTTAGAGAACATTGATGTATGCCTAGACCTGCTCTCTGCATTTTCCCTTCAACAGAACTGAACTATTTTAAATTTGTGTTTTTTTTAAATCTTTCTTTGCTAGGAGAACCACGCGCACAACATTTCCTCCAACCACTGCTCAGAGACTTTGAGACCAGACCCTCCTCTGTAAATGATCAGGACTTTTGTTATAATAAACATATCTGGTGTTTTATATATACGTTGTATCTGGATCTATGTGTGAGTTGTCATTGTTGGCTAATGAATGATTAGCTACAATGAGCAAAGAACAATCTTCAGAAATGCAGTTTTTATTTTTAAAGCTGAACTTCAAGATGCTCTGAAAAATTACTCTAAACTTCCCTACCTCAAATACGACGACAAACAATTGTTTTTCAGTTCTTTTAGGTAAAATCTTTTTTTTTTTTTTTTGTGATGTCATAGGTTGTTATTTTACAGCACTAATGTCACTAGCCGCTGGAAGGAGATGCCTGTGGTCACATCCATTTCCTATTCATGTGCCCAAGTAAACTAGTAAAAGTTCCATGATGCATCGCGATACTAGCGATATAGTGGGCAGAATCATGGGCATTTACAGTGTGCTCAAGTGGGTTGGCAAAACCTGACAATCAAGCATGGGTGGGCTGGACAGACCAGGAATCTGAGCAAACCAGCTCTTCCCACTGTAGAAATGACATTGCTGGGCTAAACCAGACTGGTGGCCTCGGGAGAGGGCATAGTGGCCATGAGTCTGACAAACATGAAAGAGAGTGAACCATGGAAAGCAGAAACACATTTTTCAGTGGCTACAGCGCTATTTGACAAAAGCACGCCATATTAGTGCAAGCAAGACGTGACATTCTGCAAAACTGCTTTTAGATATAGAATCGGAGTTCAGCTTTAAGACATCCGTATCTGTCTGTGGTATTCCCTTCAGTGATGTGAAGGGTATCAACTAAAATGTATCCTTTTCGGTACCATTGGTCTACCTTCAGAACGTTAAGGAAGCATGCTGAATATCTAATTCCAGTATAGCAGGAAAACCTGCTAGGCAATTTAATCCCTCAGTACTGGGAGATTTCTATTGTATGGCCAGACAGAACCCAAATTTAGCCTCCAACCCCCTCCCTCCTCCTAGATCATGTCCCAGCATTTATTTTCTCTTTTGCCTTTTTCTTGCAGCAAGAAACATCTTTTATTACTCCCTATGACATCAGCAAACTTAAGAAATATCTTACCAGAGACAGCTGCTGGGAGGGGCAGTTGCTACTGACATATACATGCCCCCAGAACTACATTACCAACACTCCCAAGAACCCTTTCCCTACGCAGAGTATATGGGCAGTCTCTTAGGAGCCAAGGCAGCAGCATGGCAGTGAACGGAGAAATAGGATGTGGAGGGAAGAGGAATGGGGTATTTTTTTCCTTTTTATATATAAATTGAGCCCACAGTACACAAATATGTTGGAGGATCACTGGCTGACCTAGAGGAGTTTTGCAGAAGAGGTGTCGGGCAGGCTGCACATTGAAGTTCTTGGTGAAGAGGGGTAGAGGTAAGTATGTTCACCTAAAGCTCCCCATTTCTGCGGAGTCAGACCTATAGCTGTGCAATCAGCAAAGCTCATACTCCCTGCTAATTGCAGCAGCCGGCTTCTGGGAAGGTTTTTCCATTCACAATAAGACTGCTTTCTAAAAATGTGCATTGTCGCACCAAAAAAGCACCTGTATTTTTTTTTTTTTTTTATTTTTATCCAAGACATGCCAATGGAATGCAGCGGTGTGAAAATAATGCTAATCCTCTTGTGGTGCACTGTTGCAAAAAGGCAGCTGCTCCCAATTTGAGATCTGTGCAGGTGCGGGTCCCCCGAACACACAGTCTGTTTTTGGGGAGTCACAGAGATGTCAGCTATGGAGCAGCAGCTGTGTTTGTGTCCAAGCTGACATGAATGGGACAGGCGGATTTCCAGTGTACAGAACACTTGCGCATCCTGTGCAGGTAAAACAGCCCATACATGGGTGCACACTTTAGTACACTTGTGTGAATGAGGCCTAAAAGTTTGAGTTGTCACTGCAACAGAGTTATAGGGGAAATTGTCCAGTGAGGACATTTTGTACAGGTGACAACTGCCAAAGAGGGGATTACCTTCAGTTTGAAGAGTCTTCCTTTCTCATTCTGTTGTTCCTGCAGGACAGGAAGTAATGGGAATATCCACAAATGGGACAAAGATCATAAGTATGTTAAAGCTGAACTCCAGCATTGTCTTCACTCTTCCACAGTTGTACATGCTCCTCTTCTGTACGAAAATTGCTTACTCTGATTTCACGGCACACTGTGAGCTTTTTAACCACTTGCCCTCCAGGCCATTTTTTGCGATATGGCGCTGCTTTCCTTTAACTGACAATGTACGGTCATGCAACGCTGTACAAAAATGTAATTTTTGTCCTTTTTTTTTCCCAAAAATAGAGCTTTTTCTTTTGGTGGTATTTGATCGCCTGTGTGGTTTTAAATTTTTTGCGCTATAAACAAGAAAAGACCGACCATTTTGAAAAAAAAAAACAATATTTTTGACTTTTTGCTATAAACATCCAATAAAAAATCTAATTTCTTCATAATGTATTCTGCTACATGTCTTTGCTAAAAAAAAAAAAAAAATCCCAATAAGTGTAAATTAATCGGTTTATGTGATAGTTATAGCATCTACAAATGGCGGTATATATACTGGAACTTTTTTTAACTAGTAATGGCGGTGATCATTGACTTTTAGCGGGACTGCGGCAGGCATACTGACACTGACTGGCAACTGACTAACTGCCACTGACATCCCCAGTGAGACTAATACAGTGATCAGTGCTAATAAAAAGCACTGACACTGTACTAATGACACTGGACAGCAAGGGGTTAACATCTGGGGAGATCAAAGGGTTAACTGTGTGCTGTGTGGTTTACATTATGTGCTGTGTGTGTTTTACTACAGAGACATGCTGCTATGTATTTCTCTGCTGTGTAGAGAAATATAATGCAGCATGTCCTTGCTTACAGGAGAGAGACCTGTGTTGTTTACACACAGGTCTCTCCCCGTCAGCTTTCCCCGGTGATCGCCGAGTGCTAGCTGGGAATTGCTGGATGGGACCCAGTGATTGACATCTCTAGCCGCTAATAGCAGCACGTGCACCCCCTAACCGGACATGCAAATCACGTGTATATATACATAATTTTGCACAGCCCTGCTGCTCTGTAGCAGTACTTCTACTATATGGTGGGGGGCAAGCGGTTAAAATGTGCATTAGAAGCTGCAGCAAGTCAGGGCATGCCTCATTTTCTACCTGGAGGACCTCCAGCATCATTTAGGACTTTTTCCCCAGCTTGACTGTCCCTGACCCGCCCCTTTAATTTATTGGATTTCAGTTCCTTCACTTATGGAGGCTCTGCATCATGTGTGGATGTTATCTGTATGCAAATGCAGTATGCCTAGGAACAGCCACTTCTCCAGACTGACATCCATTCATCAAGGTATTTTGATATTTACTTAACTTCTCCCAGGAGTCAGCTCACTGCTTGAATCAGGGCTGAAAGCTCTTGAGAGGAGTACTGAGGTAGGGTGCTGGGATGTTTCAGGAATCTATGTACAATACCCTGCTGGCTTGGATACATTAAGCTGTTCTTTAAAAATGTAATTCGCATGTTAAGCTGCGTACAGTATTTTGCTGGTCCCCTCCCACCAGCCATAGTTTGCCCATTGCATAGAGAGGCACAGGGACCTGGTGATGACATCACTGGGCCGAAATAAGGTATGTAATGAAAATGGAAATGTTTTATTTAAAACCTTCATTAGCATGTTGATGAGGAGGGAAAAGAAAGGAACTAAGGAAGGCAAATTGGCTTAAAAGAAAAAGAACTCCTTATTCCCATTAAAAAGAGAAATGGCATCTGGGTCCTTATGTTGACATAGATGAACTTTGAAGGATATTAATACATTTTCCTTAGCAGAGTATTTTTTAAACTGGTCATACTTGCATGGAGCAAGTACCTTCTTTTATTCTTTCCTGTTACACAAGATTTTAACATTTAGTTGTGACTTTCTATGAGAACAAGGTGGGCGACCTCCATCCTTAAACATCGACATTCTAATAATCTGTTATTTGTAGCAGCAGTCAAAGAATTTAAAATACAAATCTGAGAATGACAGGTAATTTGCTCTCCGCACTCTTTCTGACTTGTGTGTGTTGTGTTTTCAACTCTCTTAGTGCAGCTGTGAATATACGGTGTTTGGGGCGGAAGCCCACCCAGATGGTGGATTACTCTGAAATATTTTTCACAACGCTTTGTTGATCTTTAAGTGCACACGGTGTTCGTGCCTGACGTGATCAGGCTTGTGTGGTGGCACCAGGGGGCGCTGCTCACCTCAAAAAGACCTTTAAAACTAGCTGTGATTGTGCGCTTGACTTCGGGATTTAAAGACAGCCATGCATGAAAATGCAAGGTCCCCTTATTAAGTAGTACCTAACCCAATTTCAAAAATGCCATGTTAGAGAAAAAAAAAATTTAAATCAGGAAGAAAAAAAGTAAAAAAAAAAAAAAAACACAAAACCTTACATCCAGCTTTTGGATGGTTTGTTTTGGAGTTTTCACTTAGCGAGCATGCCAGAAGTCGGGGTATAAGGTAAGTATTTTTTTTCTGCCTTTGCCTAGTATTTTCCAGGATGGTGCAGACTGTTGTATTTTGCATTATATTGTGCATCAATGTGTGTCATTTTACCCGCTTGAAGTGTTTACCCCCTTCATGACCAGAGAGCATTTTTTGCTCAGCAAAATGGGGTCCCAAATGCGACTTGAGGATGCGAGGTCAACAACAAAAAGAAACTAAAAATAGAACATTTGTTGGAACATTGTATGGCGTATCGGGGGGGCCTTATGCTAACTGCACCTATAAAAAAAACTTAAAGTGGAGCTCCACCCAAAAGGGGAAGTTCTGCTTTAAGGACTGCTCCCCATTAAGGATTGGCACCTTTGGGGGGCGGGGGAGCGGTTACCCGAATTTGACAGGTACCCGCTCCCACTTCCAGGCGATCGGAAGCGGGAGGTGTCCTCCCTTCCTCCCTGTAGTCTTTTGGGACATGTGACAGGTCCCAGAAGACTACAGGACCATTCATGAAGCGCAGCGCTACTCGCGCACGCACAGTGGGTACCCGGCTGTGAAGCCGCAAGCTATCACAGCAGGG